ATAAAAGTGAAAGTTGAGGTAAAAAAAATATTTAATAATTTTTTTTTAAACCCCCCATTTTTTTCCATTTTTTTTTATTTTTTTTATTAATAATATTTCTGTATTGGTATTTTTATAATATTTATTTAGAGTTTCAATTGTTTTCAATAAAACTAAATAATAAATGACACTTATAAAACCATTATATTATTCAATTAGTCCCAATTAACATCTATTAATGATGAAAGAGTAAGATTTAACGAAATTGCAGAGTTAAAATCAATTGCGGTTCCAGGTTTATATTTAGGTAATTCAACTGGTGCATTAAATGAAACTTTAATTTCTTTTATTGTAAACAATATAAAATATAAGGGTAAATATTATATTTATAATAAAAAAATATTATAATATTGATTTTTTTTTTTATTTTTTTAATTTTTTTTATTTTTATATATATAGGACCTTTGGTAATTTCAATTAATGGACATTGTATCGATACCAATGGTGTTTATAGTGGAAGTTTTCAAGATAATGAATTTAAAGAGCCATTTGTTTGGGATTTTGAAAAGATTTGGAATGGTCATCTTTATTTTAATGGTTTAAAGAATATTTTAATGGAATTTTGGAAAGATAAACCAACATATATTGTGTATACCCAGTGTATTGGAAATACTCAAGTATTTTTAAATGATGTTAAATCAAAATATGATATCCCACCCAATATTCATATTGTTGCCTTAGGAGATTCTTTAGAAACAGACTTAACAAGACAAGTGCAATTATGTAGATGGTTGAGTGTGGAGTTTGAAAATGCCTCAACAGATACTACAATTGAAGCCATTCAATCTCCAACAATAGCAACAAAACTACAAATTTCTAATAATCCTGCATTCCACCAAGAGTTCCAAAAAAAATTAACAGAAATATCACAAAGATCCAACCATGCTTTTGAATTAAATAATAATCAAATAAAATCAATTATATATTAAAAATAATCAAAAAATTTAAATAAAATAAATAGGCATATTTTAGATTTTTTAATTTTTAATATAGTTTTTTACCTTTATTTATGTCATTTTCTTTTTAAATTATCTTTTTTTTTATTTTTAATGATTAAAATTTAGCGACCCATTGTGTTTCATTTAAAAATTCTGGTGATGATGGAACCCGGATGGTTGGATAATAATTATAATTTTTTATAGGTGGTAGTTTATTTGATAGGGAGTTTTTTTGATTATTATTATTATTTTTACTACTAATATTATAAAGATTATTATTATTATTATAATCAATATTATAATTAAAATTATTATTATTGTTTTTATAATAATTATAAATATAATTGTTATTAAAATTATTATTATTATTATTATAATTATTATTATTATTATTATTATTATTATTATTATTATTATTATTATTATTATTATTATTATTATTATTATTATTATTATTATTATTATTGTTATTATTATTATGTATAGCAAACAATCCGTTGTTAATTTTATTATAGCTATCTTTAATGCCATTGGCCAGTTGA